CAAATGCTTTTTCCTGCTACTTACAAAAATAAATGCTTGTACTGTGCTCAGATCATAATAGCTCATTAGAGGAGGCTGATTTTGGGCCCAGACTACAACCTAACACCAGAGGGCTGAGGGGGCCTCCTTGAACCTACTGTGTTGTGAGCGCTGGCTCTCTGGGGAAGCAGGGGACTGAGGACCAGGGATTCAACCTTCTTAATTGTGAACCTCATTAGTGATGGTTGCTAAGCAAAACACACACCTACCTTCAGTGCATAGGAAGGAGATAAACAGTACGTCACAGATCCTAATGACTCTGGTGCCCAGGGCGACCTTTAATTACGATATTTTTGTTCTCTTATACCTTCGTCATTAATGTAGAAAAACAAATTAGTTTATTTTTGTGGACCACAGCATATTCATAAACTGTCTTCCACTTTTTATATGTCTAAAGCGTATTTCATTCTGATAACGTACACACGCTTCATTCATTTTCCTGTGTACGCGTCTGTGTGGCCCCTGAGTTCAAGACCTCGGTGTGTAGGTTTTGTCTTAAAACAGTTTAGTTTCATGGGCTCTTTGCTCCAAAAGATTCAACCACACTGCTTTGTTTGCAATTCGCTTTCAAGAAAAAAAACCCCACACATTACTTTCTCCACGATTCACATCGGTCGAATCTCGGGGTTACTGGGAGTATTTCGGTACAGAGAATGAGAATCCTACTGTACGGGGGTGGGAAGAATCGTGGGGGCATGCGTGAGTGAGGGGCTGGAGGAAGGCCTTCTGCGTCTGGTGTTTCTGAGCCCTGACTCCATGTAAAGACCACCGTGCGGCTGCCTATCACTCTCACCAAAATTCTCCTCTTTTAACAAGCAAAACAAGAAATCGGTCACTTGAAAGCATTTTGTACAAAACATTTTATGCTGTTGGCTTTTTTCCCTCACTCCCCTCACCCTGCCCGCCACCCACTCCAGCCAGGGATAGGAAAGGTCCTCAAAGTCTGTTCTGAGCTGATGGGCCCAGGATGTGACCACCCCCTGAAACGTGCATGGAGTATCTGGGGATGACCTTCTGGATGGGGGCTTAGGATAGCCCAGATGAAACCAAATAAATTAAAACTGCAAGAAAAGCTCTAAGCAAAAGAAAGCTTAGAAACAAACAGATATAGTGAAGCCCATGGCAGGGGAGGTGAGTGAGGCCTGAATAAGAGAGGGGCGGCAGGAGAGGAGGGGGGGGGGTGTTAGTGTGCAGACCTGGGAGGGGCCCCTGGTGAGGGCAGTGCAGCGTGAATCAACATAAAGGTGGTGCAAAGGAAAAGAAGCATTGCAAATAAAAAAGACATGTAACATGTGTGCCTACCATTTTCCAGATAAGAAGGGGCCGTACCTTCTGACGGGTCTAGGCGGCGAGCCCGCCGCCCGTGTTTGGAATTGTTGTGCACAAACATGTTGTCGGACACGGCCAGCACGTGGCCGTCCACGTTGACTGTTGTCGACACAACAACCTGCGAAGACGAAGCGGATGTGAAACGTGCGGGCGAAGGGAAGAGACGGGAGCCTCCGCCAGCCCCGCGGCGCGCCCCGAGCCGCGCGCCCCGAGCCACGCGCACCGAGCTCCGGGCCACGCGCACTGGGCCGCGCGCACCGAGCTCAGAGCTGTAGGCACTGGGCCGCACATACGGAGCTCCGAGCCCGCGCACCGGGCCACCCCTGCTCGCGGTGGGCTCCCTGACCGTCAGCACCTGCACCTTTTTCGGCTCGTGGGGGTGGGCAGGCTGTTTTGCTTTGTTTTGACTCGAGATTGCTTCTCTTCGAAACCCGCTACACTAATTACAGTTTAATCTCCTATTATGCTAACAAGTGAATTCAATTCAGAGAAATATTCTTCTAGCCATTAGCTTCAGAAACACCCCTCTAGCCGCTCATTTTAAAGCTGCTTTGATTGATCTGTTCACATATTGATTAGATCGTTTATCTAATTAAAATTAGTTCACTTGAGACTGTCCTGTCTTGAAGAATTGTGAGGACTCCGAGTTGCCAAAAACAGGCTTCTTAGATCAGAAGCACTAGAGCTACCCCAGCCCATCATCCGTGGTCCCCGGGTAGATTTGACAATTACATCTAATGTCTGGTAACAAACCTTCTTGCATCTGAAAAGACCAAGCTGAATATTAGTGACAGCATTTTTAACCCAAAGCAAGACTCCTTTCTCAAGTTCACTGCGGAGGCTGGCAAGGACCTTGGTGCCGACAGGAGAGCCCCTTCCACTGGACAACCTTGCCAACCCCGGGCACCTTCCCAAGCAGCCCAGAAATGGCGCCCTTTAATGGACTCAGGAAATGGGAATCACTACCCATCCTTAAGATGTTTCTTAAACAGGGGGGCTGCGTGGCCCATTGTTTTCAGAAGAGCTGATGAGAGTAGCGAAGACACAAGCCCTGGTTCAGTCTGAGTCAAACAGTAGGCCTCGGGTGGCTGAAGCTGGTCTTGGGAGTGCGGGAGCCTGGCCTTGGCCACATGTGGGCAGTGGTGAGGGCCAGCAGCACCTCGAGAAGCACAGCCCCACAGAGAAACGTGCCGCTGGACAGGAAGGGGGGCTGGAAAGGCGCCCAGTCCACGTCTGGTCTCCCCGCCCGGTCTGCACATGTCCAAACACACACGGAAAAGGACTACTGAAAGCCGAAGCTACCATGGACCGTGGCTAACAGAACACGGTTCATGCCACGGAGCTGACATAGGACAGCAACACCGGGGCAACTGGGAGGGAGGCTGCACCCAGGGGTGTGTGGGGACGCTCAGAACCTTCCATGGGTTCCTCCCGAAAGCATAAAACTGCTATTTAAGAAACCAGTCTGTTAGAGGAACGCCAGGCATCTCGGTCGGTTAGGCGTCCGACTCTCGTTCAGCCGGGGTCAAGATCTCGGGGCGTGGGATGGAGCCCGCGTCGGGCTCTGTGCTCACCAGCGATTCTGCCCGAGAGTCCCTCTCCCTCTGCCCCTTCCCCCACCCCCAAAAAAAACTATTAGAAAAATAATAAATAAAACTGATCAAACAAAATAAATTGCATTTTCAAGGGTAAAGAAAAGGTCAAAGCTGCCTATATAAATATATGTATGTATATGGGCGTGTATGTACATGTGTCAACATATGTGTAATTGACTTTTTCATAAAAAGTCTCAGGCCCCACAGGAAGATTGGGAAGCAGGGGCCATACTCACCACACCCCAAAACTACTCCCAGGGTCAGCCTCCTTGACACTTCTTTCCCAGGTGGACCTCGCCAAGACAGCTGCAATCTCACAGTGCTGGGCCCTCTGAGCCTCAAAACACAGTAGGTACGGCCTTCATCGTCCCCACGTCCAGTCTCAGACCTGACAGTCTCCTCTTGTCGACGGCCACCCACCGACAGGGCGGGCACATACAGCGGCCTGGCCGCCTCTGCCCCCAGGACGTGGGGCTCGGGGGGGACAGGCACCGTCACCTGAGCGAGAGGCACGGCCACGGAATGAACGCTGAGCCACAGACTTGACCTTCTCCAAGTTCTTAGGCCACGATACGTAAAAGAAGCAAGAAAGGTAAAAATAAAATTAAGAAAAAAAAAAAAGACACTGCCTTTGCTCTGTCCTCTCTATCTAGGTCAGCCACCGAGGGAGAAACGAGTGGCTCAGCAGAGAAAGCAGACAAGCTGCGTTGAGTTTCTTGGTCTGGGTCGGGCCTGCCGTGCACCTGCAGGAAGGTGCTGATTGGGGAAGCCTGCTGCAAATATTGTGGAGGCCCAGACCAGCTCTTAGGTCCTGCACAACCTTCTGAGAGGCGGGATGCCAGGCCAAGGAGAGCAGAGCAGGTCCTTCCTTCTAGTAACTGTGGGCCCACGTGCGACTGATGGCGTGTGGGCCGATGGCAAGACAATGTGCGCCTTCCGCTCTGCTCCAGTGGGCAGAGGCCACCGTGAAGCCTGGCACCAGAAAGTGGAGGCAGCCCAGCTGTTTACAAGAGACACTGTCCCCACCCGCAGACCATGACTGTGGGCCAGCCCACAGACCCTTTTCTGATTGGCTGGCTGGCTGTGAAGACAAATGTCACATGTCCTAAAGGACTAGAAGGGAAGTTAAATTGCTAAAGATGACCTCGAGCGGTCTGAGGGAACTCGTCCGACCTAGCATTCGTTCCCACTAGCTCCCGCCTTCTCCTCTGGCTGGTAGGGACGAGCAGCAGTTCTGCATCTCAGCCCAGAATAGTTTTACAATTAAAATCAGCAAAATAATGCACTGAGCGTGGAGTACCTCTCAGCCTGAAGTAACTCCTGATGGTTCGCAAAGATTTGCACTCACTGATAACCCCCCAGCTCTCTACCTTCTCGCCTTGATCTGAAATCCTCTGAAGCAGCTCAGAAAAGGAGTCAGCCTGCAGCCAGCAACATGGCTCTAGCAATTAGGCATGGGCGTAAGGACGCAGAACACATCAACCCTGAGGAGAAGGAAGCTGAGCTGAGGGAACATTCCGGACTTCTAGAGGCCGCATCAAACAGGTGCAGCTCCCTTCATGAGGAGGGCCCAAGGTCCCGTGCTCACCCAACAGGCTGCACTAGGGCTCTGCCCCACGGAGAATTCACCCATCAATCCCTGAAAGAAGACCCCTGGGCAGGGGCCCCAAGCTCTCATCGGCTGTACATGGCTACGTACAGCTGAGGAACCAGGCTAGGCTGTGGACCAACATATCAGAAGAGACTCTAAAACAGTCATTCTGAAACACACCTACGAGGTCCACCGTGGCGAGGTCCACCGTGGCCGAGCGTCCGGGGGAGCCCAACTTAACCTGCGGCTCTGACAACTCTGACTTCCAGGTACCTGGCCGCCCAACGCGGGGGCAGGACGTGGCGTGACCGCCTGCGGCACCTTAGAAGCCAGGGTCACGCTGTCAGAGCCAACTCCGGTGCGCACAGACTCGATGAGTCTGGCATACGGAAGAGGCCAAATCATTCTTAAAGCAAAGCGATTTAAATATCCTATCTGACGAGCCAGTCCTGGTTTGCTCCCAAGCCCGTGGAGAACTATAGACCGTTTTCTGCACAATCGCAACATCAGAGTTCAAATTGCACGGCCAAGCCCGGATGGGGGCCCGCGCGCCCGGAGAGCTGTGTACCTGGAATCTTCGCATGTCCCGGGGGTTGCCTGCATTCTTCAAACAGTTCTGATTGCACTTGAGGAAAAACTTTAGAAAGAATCTATAAAAATACAAAAAACGGATATGTGTTAGGGTCATGAGACAAACTCACAAACTTTAGAAAGAAAGACACTGTTGGCGCGGGGAGCGGTGGAGGCTCCCTGCCGCCCCGTGCTCGCCACCCGACGGGGGCAGGACTGGGAGCCGCCGCCGGCCCCTGGGTCCGAGGGCCAGCACAGAAGATGTCCACAGACTTACATCTGTCCTGACATTACGGTCTCCACACTTTATGACGACAGTTGCAACTTAGACTGGCTGTTCCTTGCCTGGCCCTATGCGCAGTGACCCGTCGGGGACCGTCAGCCAGACAGGGATGCCCACTTTGGCAAATAAAGACACGGGATACCGAGTTACCTCCGAGCTCCAAGTAGATGACAAATACCTTTTTAGGACAGGTACGTCCCAAAGCATCCCTAGCATGAAAAAACTGTCATTTACCCTTAACTCCCGTGTAATGGCACGCGCTCAGCTTGATCTAGCAGCCGAGGCCAGAGGACACCGCTGCCCAGGTAACAGCCCTTCCCAGACTAATGTTGTAAAAGTTACAGGGAGCGCAACTCTTAAGAAAAGGGAGGGCTGGGGTTGTGCTTTAAGGGCCACAGTGACATCTGTGAAGGGTCTACACGTGTTTTTGAGGAAAAAGGTAATGACTCAGCGGCAACAAAGCTGCGGCTCAGGCGGAGAGGCTTGGGCTCAGGGGCCCGAGCGCTTCTACTTCTCGCCAAGCTCTGCTCTTGTGTTTTGAAGCATGAAGATTCAGGGGTCCTGACAGTGTGTTGAGATGCTGTGACAAAAACCTCATCACACTGTCCCCTCCGTGCCCGCGTGCTCGCTGACAAGGACAGAAGGGCTCTGGCTCACGATCAGAGCGCGTGGGCGCTGGGCAGCCTGGCTGGAGGGCCAGGACAGGGGACGCAGGGGTCTCGTCCCTACACCCCTTCGCCTTGTCCAAGGCCTCGGCCACCGTGGGCCGGGGCAGGGGTCTCTGGGCCGACACACGTGCCCTCTCCCGCCGTCCTGTCCGGCAAGGCTACCAACAAACCCTTCCCTCTTTTCTGCCCAAATGTCCCCTGTCCTACTTGAGATCATTCATTTTTCATGAAGTTTCACAGGATTCCCTTGAACTCAACCCTGCGGTCAAGGTCCCTTGTTGACACTGATCCTATCAGAAAACAAAAAAGACCCCACAGACCAAGGTGCGTTTCCCTCTCGGTGCTCCCGGACGACTTTCCACCGTGGCCGAAGAGAAACGCCGTTGATGGGAAGAAGGAGAGCGGCGGCTTCGCTGACTGTCCTCCCGCGCCACCAGGCCTCACTGTTTTCGGCCAGAATTTACATCTTTTATTAGCTCACCTCAGCCCTGCACCTCGCGCACTGCCTCCCAGCGCCATCTGCCACCGCACGTACAGTGAGCCACTTGATATTCCACCCACCGAGTTTTCCTAACAACCGCGTGCAATTAAACTCCGCGCGCTCTGCAGAGGTAAATTAGACGCACCTGCGGCCGCCCCGCGCGGAACCACATCAGGAAGGCCCTAACAAGGTGAGGCCGTCACAAAGTTATCGTCCTGTCAGGCAATTAGGTTTTCACTTCGGGGACAGCCACATGGCGCAATTATGCCACACATTACCGCCCGGCTAATCTGAGCAGGCGCCGGCAAGCAGTGCCCGTCTGCAGCGGGCGGTGCCGGGAGCTTCTGGGACGGCGCGGGCTCTTCTCTTCTCTTCTCTGTTTTCTTTTTGTTTCTTTCTTACCCACCCCTTCGGGAGGAGGTTACTTTATTTTCCTTGGTGTCTTTTCAGGTGGTTCACCTTTTGCCTCTAAGACAGCAGAGCGAGAGCCGAAGGTGGTCTGAACCACCGGGCCGGGATGGGGGACGGGGCCTAGTGCTCTCGGGCCTCGACCGCCACGGCCGCAAGCGGAACTTGGCACAAAGCTGGGCACCGGGCCCCATGAAGCCCTCGGCATTCTTGGGGCCGGGCTCTGGCTCAGGAACACACACGTTGGTTTGGGGGGTGGCAACAGTAGGTTTGTCTTTGACCTCAAGTGTTCTGTGAGCTGTGGATGCGCACGACCCCAAGGGCAGGACGCCCTCCACGCGCTCCGGTCCCAACCGCACAGACACGATACAGCACAACACCGAGGGCCAGAGACAGGAAGCTTTGGCCAGAGCCTTGTCCGGGTCACGTCTAAGCAAGGGAGTCCGCTAGGCCTCTTGCTCAGGTGAACGGCCTGGGAGAGCCCGCAGGGCCGTAGCTCAGAGGGACGTGGGCGCCCGCCAGGGCTTGGCGAGACGCCCATGCCGACGTCTGGGGAGCGTGAGGACGCAGGATGCCCTCCCAGTGAAGTCCGATGATGACGCTCACCCTTTTACTCAATTACCCTGTGACTGGCTTTCCTCCTACAACATATCCAACGACCACTTTACATATCTCACTTCCGGACTCTGATACACAGAGGGTTTAATACTCTTGTTATGAAAGGAAAAATCTTTCCTATGTCAGAAAATCTTTGGCTTTAACACCAATAAACTCTTTATTCCTGCTAAACATGGATTTGCTGCTCGATGGCGAAGAGGCGATAAAAATTCGAACCTGTCATTAGTACACTACACTTAATTGTGTACAGTGCGCTTTCCACCGCATCTGTTGGCCCATCATCAAAATGACCATTATGTACACTAATTCCCTGACCCTGTCTTTATTTCCCTAAAGAGCCATCAGCTTTCACAGTAGGAACCAGGGTAAATCAAGCTTGAAATATGGGCTTTATTTACTTGTTTCTCTCAGGCAGGAGGGAAGGCAGCAGCCCAGGGCAAACTGCTTCCCGTCCGCTTAAACTCCCCAGTAATATCCTGCTCGGAGACCACGCACCCCCTCCTGGAAAGTTCTCAGTTGCGACTAGAAGGGGGAGACGTAGGATCTCATGCCTTTGGAAACCAGGTTTCGGCCTGCAGAGTGGGCAGGGATTCGAAGAGGAGGCCACGCGGACCACCCCCAGCGCTCGCACACACGCGGGTTCCGGGGGGTGGGGAGAGGGCGCCCCTCACGCACCAGCACCCGGGAAGGCGGACTCAGGGTCCCAGCCTGGGGAGAGCCGCTGGCTCCAGCCACAGCACCCGGCAGGCCCTTGCGTCCGCGGGGACGACCCAGTGGCCACGGCCACGCCCGCGGAGCGAAGTTGAAGTCCGCCCCGGCCGCCTCCCTCACAGTGTCCTCTCCCCCGAGCATCCCAGCGGCCCCGGACACGCCCGGTGGCAGACGAGGACACCACGAGCGGGGCCGCCGCCACAGGACACGGGACCAGCCACTCCGACGGGAGCCCACCCTCAGCACCGCCCCCGACGAGGGGCCGAACCCCCGGCGCAGTAACTCATTCCCGAGTCCGCTCCACTTCTGTGTGTTTTAGCTGTGAATTAGTTCATTTATATTTACTTTTATGAAGCTGATTAGCCAGAGCTTCTCTATCTGATGAAAATCATTTTAATTGTAGTGTTAGGCTCCTGTGTAATATCCATTACATTATGAACTGTTCAAATCCTACATGGGCTTCGCATAAATTGGCCCTTTGTGTGCACGCAGGCAATTAGGACGAACAGCTCTCCTTTAAACGGCTGCACAACTTTGTGGTGGTGTTCAGGACAATCAGAAACAAAGGAGGCTGCTTAATTGTAATTTAATGGAATATCAAGGAGTCCGTGGCATTAGACGCTGGCAACAGAGAGCAGGAGAGAAAAATTAACTGCAATTATGTTTGATTAAAGCTATCCTTCTCAATAATCAGCGGTCCTGACAGGCCATGGGGCTCTCGTGGGTTCCAGGATGGCAAAAGGTGTTGAGCAATATTAGGGCCAATAAAGGGGATATTAGCATAGCTAATTACAGCCCTGCAAAACCTGTAAAGGGGGCCTCTGTGTATTGTAATGTGTGAAATAATTGGACAAGGCCGTTATCAATTACATAAGGAATGAATTTGGTTTGTCAGAGAAAAGCTGACGAGATGCATTTCATCTGACACCGTCCCCTTCCCTCATGTTTCCAGCAGCTAAGAACTTGCCCACTTTTATCAAAAGCTGCAACTTAGCAGTGGCCGAATCACTGATAAAATTATCTTGCCAGCAAGTGTTAGGTAATTAATACCACTCACCATCACCACCTTCCCCACACTGCTACTTCTCACCTAGCTGAAGCCACTAATCATGTAATAATGATTTTCTTCCCTCTGGTCAAAGGAGAAATAGATTGTCTCCTTAGAAATGCAGTGGGCTTGGTGTGCGCACCCTGGTGATTGAGGAGAAAAAAGGAACTTCGAGCAGTTTTAATTGCTTGCCTTTTGCACGTGGGTTTCACTTGTTTGAAATTACCTCCTCTCAGCATTTCGGGAATCCTATACGCAGGGATTTTTTTTTTTTTTTTTTTTTTTTAATCACCAAGTCTTAGAGTCTTCCGGAGCTCGTCTTGCCACTGCCTGAAAACGTGAGTGACAGCGTGATGCAAAGTGTGAGCCCGACAGGCCGTCCGAAGCGTGCTCAGGCCCCACCTGAGCACAGGCTAACCAGCAGGGCTCAGAGCAAAGAGCTCTGGCTTGCAGACTTCTCCCACGTCTCAATTCCAGCCTCCGTCCCAGCAGGCACGGCCTCCTCTTCTGGTCCTCCACTCTGGGCAATACGGGAAATTTGAGTCAAGAATGAAAAATATTGATATCATTTTTGTGCGGGGGAGGGGGAAGGGAGCGCTCACCTTTCCATTTTAAGGCTGAGCTCTTAACAAGCAGCAAATGAAGACAGCCACGGATAGACCCCCATGTCATCAGTCAGAACACCCAAAGCATCCATGTGTGGGTCATGGCGCTGACAGCTTCCGGAGGTCACCAGAGAACCCCATTCCAGACCAACTCCCACACTTGTAGTTCCTGAATCCAGAACACAAAACCAGGAAGCTGTTTCCATAGCATCGCCTTGACAAGGAAGAATATGGGTACCGACCAGAAAACACAGCTGC